CAGCAGCTTGGTAGGTAGCCTGTGGAAGGCTGGGAACACCAGTGGGTCCCTGGGACTCTTCCCAGGGAAGCTCCAGATGCATCTGCCTCCCAGATGCTGCTGTTTGGTGAAAGCATCCATGGCTTGCATGGTCCCTCAGCATCCTTGTCCTACCAAGGGTTCTGTGGAGCAGAATATTTAGCTTTTCTGTGTGGGTTGTGGAGGGAGAGAGCTTGAGCTGGGGGGTGATGGTGGAGCTGGGGTGTTGTCCCTGTCTACCTGGGTGAGAAAAGTCATCCCGGGGGTGTTGGTCACTTCCAGGCCACCTCTCCCTCCAAGGGCAGTGGGACCAGGTGGCTCGGGAACACACTGGGAGCAGGGCAGTGTGCGTGCTGCATGCTGGACCACAGCTGTCCCATCCCATCGGCGGGGGGTCCCTCACCCAGGTGCCCTTTTGCTGCTGCTCAAGGCCATTGCCAACAACCTTATTTCTTACAGGTTCAAGCTCGCAGGCTGGCCAGCACCTCTCCAAGTAGGTAACTGCTCCTGTGTGTGCATTTACACGTACTTCTAGAATTTATACATGGTTACGTGAGTGGTCTGTGTATTTGCCACGATGATGGGGAGCTTGGGCTGGCTGGGGAGGAGCACAGAAGCGGCTGGGGGAGGGGAATGAAGACCCTGCCATCCCTAACTACTCTTTCCTCTCCCAGGTAGCCTTGGCGTGGAGGCACTGATGGCAAAGTGATAGCCACCGATAGTACGGCGCTGGGGAACGTGCCAAGGGCAACAGCTGAGCCACCTGCCTGAGACGAAGCAGGGAGATGCTCGGCTCCAGCTGGCGGGACACACCGAGGAAGATGCTCAGGGTGGAGAGTGGCCACATGACCCAGAGATGCTCCAGGGATGGCTGGTGTGGTATTCTGGCTGATGGTACCCCACTCCTACCTTCACCCATCACCAGCCAGGCTGCCACCAGTGAACTGGGAGGGAGTGGCTGGAGTCCCAGCAGAGCTGGAGGGCTGGAGCAGCATTTGTACCCACAGAAGGAGTGTGGATGTGGCCGTGTCACCGTCCCCAGTCTTGGAGAAAGGCTGGCTACTGCAGGGATGATTTATCATGCCCCCTACTCCCTCCTCTAACTTGCCTCTCCTGCTTTATACACGTCGTTCCCAATAAACATACCTTCCTCCTTGTTTTTAATCTTTATACAGAGACAACACAACATTGAGGGTTAAGGGAATCACAACTTCTCGAGATACAGGACTGACTTTTTTTTTTTTTAAATGAAGACATTTAAAACATGCTATGAATTTACCTCTATAAGGAGCTGCTGCCTTCAGGTTATGTGGGGGGTTTTGTGGGTTTTTTTATTTTTTAATATAGTAATTTATATTTGACTTTTCATTTAAATTCATGGCTTCACCTGTTTCCTTTGCTGGACCAAGGCGGTGGGAGCGATGCTTTTCGGGCTGAGTTTCATAGAATCTTTTAGGTTGGAAAAGACCATTGAGATCAGCCAGTCCCAACTGTTTCAGTACCAATTGTAGCTGAAAAAGGCTGCAAGAAAGATTTAAAGACTGTGAAAGCAAACCAAACCACTTTACAACACAGAGCCCACCTGTCCCAAAGGAGAACATGGAAGATGCAAGTTGGAGATGACCTTGACGGAGACCCTGGAGGGGCAGGAGAGGGGAGTGATGCTGCAAGACCTTGGAAGGAGATATTGTTTCATCGTTTCCATCCTGCGGGCACCAAAATGTTGATGGGCATCGCAGGAGTGATCCTAGCAGCCAAGGATGGATTGACTTGCCCTCACCCGGTCTGCAGCAGCGGTATACAGCAGAGGCCTTACAAACTCAACACTCGGGTGTTTTTCCAGCTGATGCAGGGCATGGAGGAACAAAATGAGGATGATGATTATTTTTTATTTCACTACAGGAAATATTTATTTTAAACTAAGAAAATGGAGGGAAAAAAGAAAAAAAAATCCCACCCAAACTGTACCATAGACTCTTCTTTTAGCTGAAAGGTGTGTTTGCCTGGGGAGGCAGCTGCTGCCGTGTTTTCTGAGGGTGCCTTTCTGGTTCTCCACTGGGATGTACTGGCCGTGCAGAGAAGGGGGTACCCTGCTGTTCTCACTCTCCCTTGCCACACCAGCTCTGTGCATAATGTTGTGCAGCAGTTCCTTCACCTTATTTAACATTTTGTAAGAATGAATTTTAAGAGGTGCCTCACCTTATTAAAAGGGTTTGGCTTGTTTTCAAATACGCCGTGCTTCGCTCTCTGCTTGCCAGAGTGGGCACGATGGCACCTTCTTGGGAAGAGGGGAGTCCCAAATCGGTGCCCTGCCGATGCCCAGCTGGCTGGGCAAACCAAACTGGGCTGGTGATACATTTGCCACAAGCCAGGAGGGGTGTGCCCATCCCATCATCGGAGGGCTGGATCCATTATCTGTCCAACTGCAGGTGCCTGGGGGGTGTAGGGAGTCCCATGAGTCAAGGGCACACATCCCAGCATCCGTGAGGAGTATATCCTGAGCCCTCCCAGGTGACAGCCCAGGAGGAGGATGCTGGCTGAGTTGTTTGCATCAGAAATGGGGCAGGAGAGGTGTGGGGTGCAGCAGAGATGACACCCCAGGACTCTTCTGCCTGCTTGTTGGGCTAATGCAGCAGGGACCCCCAAGATACCCTCCCCCTAGTAAGCCTCCATCAGAAACATGAAATCTGCCTGTTCCCAAGAGCCAAACATCCCAAATTACTCGAGCCTGACAACAGCACTGCCAAGACCCACTCCCTGCAAATAGGGTATTTTGAGAAGTATCCACAGTGCTTGGGGAACAACCTGCCTGGAAAGACAGACATGCAAACTTCCCTGTGCCAAGGGCTTAATGAGGAGCAGAGCTGGGACCCCCTCCAGCCACAAAAGAGCTTCACCTGGGGAAGCACAAATTAGTTTGTGTGTTAATTGGGAATAGCTGGAAGGGAGCCACTCCCACCGTGGGGAAATAAGATAAAAGCACAGGGCTGGGGTGGGGTCTTGGTGCTCTCTTCTTGGGTGCTGTCAGGTAAGGGATGTTGCTGGGTTGGAAAGTCTTGCTGTCCTGACTGGGGCTTTCTGGGGCAAGGTGGATATTTTGGGCAGGGACTAGCTGAGCCCAAGGCTGGTCACAGCCTTGCTTTACACCAGGGAGCCTTCCTGGCTCCTCCTGGGAGATATTGAAGCTTAGCACAAGCTTTCCTGAGCTGGAGAAGCTACTTGGTGCTGTTGGAGACTGGGGAGATGTTTTGATAATGGGTCTCCTGGCTCTGGGGGGGTGGGCTGAGCTTAGAGGGACCTAGTCTAAAGCTTCTGTTGTACTTCTCCACAGCTGGGTTTTCCCCATGGCCTCTCCCAGGCAGAGCCAAGGGGTGGGACCACCAGACCCTATGGATGTTGCTGCCCCACAGCTGAAAATTATGATCTGTGGTGAGAGGGAAGAAGCCCTGGCTGTGGCCACAGGTCCTGTTGCCCATGTGGGTGCTGCTGCCAGTGGGCTGCAGTGCAGAGCCTTCCTGGTGCTGGCTATCTGCCTGGCCACCACCATTCTCCCGTACAGCCTGGGGACTCTGGCTCTTCTGCCCTGGGCCCCGCCAGGCTCCCTGCATGCTCCCCTTTCTCCTCTGGACTCACCAGCCTCCCAGGAAGGGATAGGTGACAATTTGGTGGCAACACATGGGGACCCACTCAACAAACCAGCAATGCAGCAGTGTGGGAAGGTGCTGATGGGCTCTGTGGGTGCTCCAGGCTGCTTCCCAGGGGCTGAAGAAGACATGACCCCTGGTACAGATGCTGAGGGATGGAGCCTGGGGACACTGGTAGCAGCCACTGTCTCTCCAACAGCTCTGACCTCATCACAGTGGCAGCCTGGGTCTGGGTACAGGGTAGGGCTCAGGCTAGGCAAAGCAGTGGCTGTGACACTCTCCCCAACACAGTGGCTTGGCTTAGGGGTGCCTGCTACCTCAGCTCAGCTCCTTCAGACTGTGGACCACCCTAGTCCTGGCTCCCAGCATCACCTTGCTCTGGGAAGCCTCCCTGGCACAGAACCAGGCTTGTATGATGCAACATGGGTGCCTGCGGAGACCTTAGCCCATGCCCTTGGGCAGCCTGTGGGCATGGCAGAGCCCCAGAGTGTGGGGTGGGGGTCTGAGGGTACCCCTCAAGCTCCAGGTGAGCCGTCTGCCTGGGTTCCTGCTGCTTCTCCAGCACGGCTGCAGCCTGACTCCCTGCCTGGGGCTGCCTTGCTGGGGGTGGTGCCCACCCAACTGGCCCTGTCTGATGGGGTTGCTGCAGGGGCTCGTGTACCACCTGATGCCCCAGCACAGGCAGGGTCAGCATGGACACTGATGGGTACTCCCTCCCAGAGCCACAGCACAGCGGACCAACCCAGAGGTGACCAGATGCTCACCCTTGAGGCATCCTCTGACCACTGGACCATACTCCACAGAGCAGATCTCAGTCTGGCTGCAAACTCTAAGCCTCCTGCTGTGGTCACAGCCAGCAGTTTGTCCTCTCAGGCCAGAGCTGTGACAGCAGGACAGGATTCTGGCAGCATGCCTGCGTCTCATCCAACTACAGCCAGTGGATTCTCTGATGTTTGGCATGGAGCTTCAGTTGCTGGATCCGCGAGGAGGACCTGCAATGGGCAGAAGGAAGACGGAAGACCAAGCCCCAGCCTGTCTGAGGATGAGGACTGCACTGCTGCTCGTCACCTGGTGCCTCTTCCGGGGATGCCATCAGAAAGGACATCCAGCTCACCTGAAACACATCCTGGCACTGTGTGGGTACCCTCTGCCATGACACCTGAGATGCTGTGGGACACGCAGCCTGCTGGCACTTTCCTGCATGGTAAACCTGCTCTGCCTGTGGACACTGTCTTGGCTGAGGTCCCAGAAAATGGGTCTGGACTTCTGGTCACTGTTTTGGCATCCCCTCCCAGTGCTGCATCGGCTCACAGTGTCAACCACCCACAAGTGCTGGCTCCCTTCCTTCCTACAGCAGAACCTGGGAGACCCACTGTCACCTCAGCACTAAGTGACCTGTCTTCCTCCGCTGCACAGCAGACTCTGCTGACACCCACCACAGCTCTCCCTTCCCCTGCTCTGACCAGGGTTCCCAGTGCTGCAGGTCCCACCATGACTGGGGTGAGCTCAGCAGACCCTGATGCCATCCCAGTGCCTGCTGTCACCAAAGCCTCCTGCATGGATGGAGCTGCTATGGTGGCTTCCCCCTCTCCAAGAGCTGCAGGTGTGACACATGATGCTCTCCTGGGGTCACCTACCCAGAGGCAATCTCTGTGTCCAGATCTCTTCCTCACAACAGCATCTGAGGATGCACTTGCTGCAGGGCAGCGCCAGGCTGTGAAGGTGACAGAGATGAGTGTGCTGCCTGGACAGACAGCTGTGGCAGAAGCTGGGCACAGTGAGCCCAGGACAGCTTTGACAGGACCCACTGCTGCTTTGGCAGGACTTCCAGGAGCCACCCATGCCAGCCCAGGCTCTGTGCCTCCTCCCACCTCCACGAGCCCCACTCTGGACCACTGGGCTGTGCACCGCACTAGCACCACAGGCTTACCATCTCCATCCTACCTTTTGACTTCAACTGGAGTTGTGCATGCAGCCAGCTCCCCGCTCAGCTCTCAGACCATGGCTGCATCAGCAGGAGTGATGTCTGATGCTCAGCCCATGGCCAGCCAGTCTGTCACCTCCCAGCACCCCTCCACAGCCAGAGCACATCTCTCTGCAGCTGCAGAAGAGGCCTTCACTCCAGCTGAGCTGATGACAACGGACAAACTTGGGTCCCCAGGGGTGAAGCACGTGCTGCCCTTGCAGTTCCGGCTGTTGGGTATTGCTTACACCGAGGCTCTGAGTAGCAAGTCCTCAAGCAGCTACAGGGAGCTGGAGGAAGAAGTGATGCTGATGGTGAGTGCCAGGAGCTAGTGGGTGGAGATATCAGTGCTTCTGGGTGCATGGTGCTGAGGGAGAAGCTGAGAAGCTGTTGCAGCGAGCCCTGCTGGGGTGAGGACCTGGCTTGGTCTGTCACCCACCTGGGCATGGTGAGGACAAGTAAATCCCTGCCACTGCTGCACTGGAGCTGGACTGGGATACTTGATTTGAGGTGGGACTGGGTTCCCCTCACCTCTGGCAGCTAGTAGAGGTGTTGCACACTGGTGGTGCTTGGTTATTCCCTCCTGGGTGCTGTTCCTAGTCTGATGGGAGCCCTGGGTATGACAGCATGCCTGTGACCATCCCCAGAGGCCTGGCATACCCCAGCATGTCCTACCCTGGGCAAACTGAGCTGGCTTCCCTCTGTAGTCATTGCACACCTCCTGGTACATGCCCTCTCCACACGGGAATTTACAAAAGCTTCTCAATTAACAGGTGCTTCTTTCTTTCAGCTAAACCAAATGCTGTCCACCTATGAGGCCTTTCTGCAGGCAAACGTCCTCGAGTTCATGTGAGTGCACAGCTCTACCCTGGGGCAGCAGGCAGAAAGGAGTGGGTTTGGCTTTGAGGCTGCCCCACAGCTCCAGTGTGGGGCTCGAAGGGTTGAGATAAGGACAGATCTGTTTACTCTGTGTTAAAATGGAATTGTTAAGCTATTCATTATAATGCTTTGGTGGTGGCTGGTCAGGATGTTGAGGTCTTTGCTATTTGGGTTATTAGAACTGTGAAATCTACTGCCCTACATGCCCCTTATGCTGATTATGTGTGTTTGATCCCTGTTGAAGGGTCAGTAAAATACTCAGGACAGCTCCCCTCCCAGGGTCATTCTCTCAAGTGACCCTTGTTGAAAGTGTCCGAGCCTCCAGACAAAGCCTACTGATACCTCTCTGTAGGTGCACTGTTAATGTGGGCATGATGGGGCTCTAAAGCTGCTCCCAAGAGGAGGTGGTCTGCCCGTTGTCTCATCTCCTTCCCAGGAATGGCTCGGTGGTTGTGCGAGGGGAGGCTCTGTTCCGGGGGAATGCTGCTGCTCCCACCAACTCCCACCTCATCCGGACGATCATCACAGAGGCGAGCAAGGGAAGGAGCATCTTTAGCTGGCAACTGGAGCCACAGTCTGTCCAATCCAGTGGTAAGCTGTGGGGGTTTTTCCACATGTATCACAGCCAAAACCTGCAGTTTGGACTTCAGGTTTCACCCTCACTTAACATCCCCTCTCCTGGCCTATGCGAAGCCCTCTAGCACTGACAAAGCTGGAGACCACATCTGCAGTGGTTGAACCTGTGTGGTCCAGTGCTTCTGCTAAACTTTCTGGCTTTCCCTTCTTGACCTGCTTCTCTCCTCCTGGAAGGTGGTATGTACCAAGCCCTTCCCACCACAAAAGGGATAGGTCTTCACCTCTACCCAGCTGCCCTGGTGACTTCTGCTTTCAGTGTGTGCCAGAGGATGAGCGCAAGCCTGACTGACCTCCACCTTCCTTGGGAGATCAGATATGGGCGTAACTGTCTTCTGAACTCTTCCAGGTTTCAGCCTGGAGAACCTGGACCCAGAGAAGCTGTCCATCTCTCTCACCATGCTCCAGCTTGGGAGGAACAGGACAGACAGTGTGGAGAGGCTGAGCAGTGAGGTATGACAAGCCTTGGTGGCCCTTCCAAAGGATGATGCTGGGAACAAGGCCCATCAGGCAAATGGGCACGGGCTGGCTGCTGCACTGCCCTCATGGTGGGAGAGTGTGTGCAGGGGCAGGGTGTGAGCTCTTGTCTCCTCTTCTAGGTGGTTCAGTCTCTCAGTGCCCTCTACCATGTGAGGAACTTCACTGTTTCCCAGCTCAGGTATGAGATACAACTACTCCCCTCTGAAGCTCTTCACTGAATTATCTTCACCACCTCTTGTGTGTGCTGTAGTTAACTATCCGTACTAAAAAGATGGGGAGGACTAGTTGTGCTGTACTAGGAAACTGGGAGGGTGATGGACAGCTAGTGGCAAATACTGTGACTGAGCACCTTCCCTGAGCTGAGTAGTCATGAACTGCTGAAAAAGACCATCGGGGGGGAGGTGTGAATGGTGAGCCTCGTCCCAGCTCTCCTGCCTTGCTTAAAACCATTCTCTACCCTTAGAAACCACAGTGGGAACCTGGAGATCACTGGAGACATCTATCTCGACACAATTGTCCATGTGGATGTTGCAGGAGTTCTTCAAGCCTTGACAGCTCTTGCCACCTGCTCTGTGGACCTGACCTCCCTCTTGGTGGAAGGTAAGGACAGTCCGTGTGTGTGATAGGGCTTGCTGCCAGCTCTGGTCACTTAGCACTTGTGTCTTGCCTCCTCAGGAGCCAGGCTTCCCCTGCAGGTTTACCCAGTCTCCTTCCTCATCACCAACAGGCACTTCAGCAATGACCTTCTGGATCCACTGGCTGTAGAGCACCAGGAGCTCACCAGAGACCTTGGTGATGCGGTAGGCATGGCTGGTGGGAGGGTACCGGGGTCCTCTCAGGGTGCTGAGACAAGGAGGCTGAGCACCATTGGAGGGAGGAAGAGGGGACTGCTCTGGGGTTGTCCAAACCAGACTATCAACTCAGTGCCATGGCTGAAACCTGCTGAAGGCAGGCATGGAAGCTTTAGTGGCAGAATGTTTTTTATCTCCTGATGGTGCTCCAATGGTTCAGGTGACCATAATGCATCCAGGAACCTAGAGATGCTGAAGAACTGCATCTGTCCTGTGTCCCTTGCTGTAGTGGCTGTTTGAACTCCATCATGGCTGTGGAAGTGGTGGTCTAGCAGGGTGAAACACCACAAAGGCTGGTGGGGACCTAAGCAAAACCTCTCTTCCAGGTGGCAAGTGTCCTGAGGGACTACAGGAGCTTCCTGCAAATGGTGATAAGAGGATTCCTGTGAGTGGGAGCAGAGGGTCTGTCTGGGCCAGGAGGGTGGAGTAGGGGTGTATGGATCCAGAGAGGTGTCCCTACAGACATCAGTCAACAAGTCTGGCTGTCAGGTATATAGTCTCAGCCACAGAAGGGTTTGCAGCAGGAAGCTGAGCATTTACCCACTCAGTGAGTTGCAGGACCCCCAGGGATGTCCTATCTTAAAGAGCAGAAGAAAAATAAATGCCTCCCTGAGTGCTGAGACATGTTGCTGGCATGAGGCTGTGGGGTCCCAGTAGGACTGGCAGCTGCTGGAGCTCTTCCCAAACTTGTCTACAGGCCTGGCTCCTTGATCTGCCATGGGGACGTGGTCTTCCAACACCCTGCTCCAACCAGCCTGGAGGTTTTGGAAGCACTTGTGCTCTCAGTTGGGCCAAATAAGGCTTTGGCTGGTTCAGACTTCCAGGTGGACCCATACTCTCTTGCTGTGGGAGGTAAGCTTCCCTTTGTGGTGTGGGAACATGAGCTTCACTAGTCTCTGGCTCCATGCCTGCAGTGGGAGCAGAGTTAGAACCCTGACTAACTAGCTCCGGATCACTTACACAAATGGAGGGTGAGAAAATGTCTTGGCTGGTGAGGTGATAAGCTTGCAATAGTTAATCTGAAATAAAATTCCAGTGGTGACCATGCTCTGTCCCTCTGCACAGCCTGGGGGGATTGAAGCTGGAGAGACCCATCTGCTGCAGGCTGGCATAGAACAGAAGGGAAAGCTGATCTGGAAAGGGCATGGAGGCTGTCAAAGACATGGTATTGGCATCCTGTGGTATTGCCTGCCGTGTCCTGAAGGAGGGAGGGTGGCTGACACCTCATGGGGTAAAACCCCATGTCTCAAAGGCTGTGCTAACTGCTGTGCTCTACTCCAGAGGATGCTCTGGAGCCCCCCGTGTCAGAACCAGGCCTTCCTGAGTACAGCGTGGTCATCATGGTCATGTGTGGCCTCTGCATCATTACTGCTCCCATCATCTTGCTGGTGGTAAGGGTGATGTTACTCTCTGCTGGGGCAGACAGAAACAAGCTTGGGTGAAACAGCCCCTGTGCAAGGGGGAGCAGAGGGCTGCTGTGGGGCCAGGCATGGCTGAAGCCTCCATGGTCTCCTCCCTAGTGCCTGAGGACCAAGAGGCATGGCTGGCAGGATGTGGCAGGTATCTGGGACAGAAGAGACCCTGAAGTGGGGACCCAGACCTTAGAAATGGATAACCAAGGATTCTGGGCATCTTCTGAACAGGCAAGTGGCCTTTACAGTCCCTTGAATTAGTTTCTGTGCCTTACAGCTGGAGCTTTGAAGCACAGCTGGTGCTTCTGCAGGTCACAGGTCCCTGTTGTGCCTCAGTGATGCCAGAAGCTGGAGAACCCCTTGAGACGTGGGGGGAAAAGAGCCTTCACCTTCCACCTTTGCCGGTGGGTGGGTGCAGTGACTTCTCCCCCTTTTGCTTGCAGGGCCCTGAGGATGCTCATATGCACTGGCAAAATGAGACTGCCCAATGAGAAAAGATGCAATGGGATGGGGAGGGAGGGGCAAAGAGGGATTTGGGGGGAGAGATGCTGAGAAGATATCCCTGCTCATTGGGCTGCAGCCCAATGGTCCTAGAGAAGGATGTGGGCTCAGATGGATGAAGGGAATGACTTTGTATGTTGAACTTTATTAAATTGTTTATAGACTGTCAAACCCAGTTGTGAATGTGCTTTTGCTTCTGCTGTATGGGTGGGTTTGAGCCTCCTTCCTGGGAAGGTAGCCCTGCTTGAGGGTAGGAACTGTGACGGGCAGCAGCCAAGCCATGCCTGGTTTACGCTTTATACCCAGGCTGCAAGCTCTCCCTGCACAGACCTGGCTTTAAGCAGCCCAAGCTGTGTGCTGTTTGTCTAACTGGCATCACTGGCTTGGTTTTCTCCAGCTCTTGATTAACTCATTGCTAATGCTGAGGTTGCTGCAAAGGCACTCTGAGTGCTGGGATGGTAAAAGGCCAAGTTAAGTGCAATCCTCTGTGTCCTTGGGTTGTGGGAATTGAGCCCTGGGCTGATCCCTTCCTGCTCTGCGCTGGGTGCTTTCCTTCACCCCAACAGGAAAAGCACCCTATATGATATGGACTGTTATTGATGCCTTGTTTAACTACAATACAAATTCTTCTTGCTCAAAGGGATGCTTTTTTCCCCCCACTGTGGGACTGAGCTCTGTGTGGAGGCAGAAAGCAGGCTGTAAGTGAAGGAACTTGGTTCAAAAAGTAATTTCAGTTGTGTGGGGGTGTGTGGTGTAGTTTGTTTTTTTTTTTTCTTAACCTATGACCAAAAGTCGTCCTGTGTGAGCAGGGAGCCTAGATGCTGATGGCAGGGGTATGCTGAGCTTCCCTGCTCATTTCCAAAGGGGCGGAGGGGACACAACCGGCTTTTCCCTGTGCTCTGTAAGATGCAGGACACATCTAGTGCTCCGCCTCCTCCCTTTCCCTGCCAGCTCCTACCTGGAAGTGATGCACAAGCAGTGAGTTCCTTGATGAGGGGAAAAAATCTGCTGCATCCCCAAACCTTGAGGAAAATGAGATTTGAGGGGAAAAAATCTGCTGAATCCCCAAACCTTGAGGAAAATGAGAGCTTGGGTTGCATGAAGCAACTGCTGCTTGGACGCTCAGATCTGCAGGGTTGGCTTTGAAAATTAAGGGCCACAAACTTCCTCAGAACTGACTTGCCTCCTCTCCTGGAGGCCACTTACCCCCAGCATGTCAGCAAAAAGTAATAAGCATAACCCAAAGCCTGATCAGATCAGTTCTGCTGCTATTAGGCGGAACAATGAAGTGATTTTATGGGAGTCTTTTTAAATACTGGTGTTCTAGAAGTGATACTTACTCAAAGGCACAGGCAGGAAACACCTGACCTGCAATAATGAAGGCTAGTGCACCAAAAAAGGTGAATGGGCTGAGTGAGTGTATGAGTCAGCTTGTAAGGAGAAAAAAAAAAAAACCACAAAAAAAAAACCCAACACACTTGCACTGAAGAAAAACAAGCCAGGGGGCAAAC